AGTGGTGGTAGTGGTGGTAGCGGTAGCGGTAGCGGTAGCGGTAGCGGTAGCGGTAGTGGTAGTGGTAGTGGTAGTAGCAGCAGGAGCAGGAGCAGCAGCGGCAGCTAGGATGGTATTCCTGGGCTTGATTCATCACTTCGGAAGAACGTTGTAGGTGGTCATGGCTTGCTGGGTGTTGCATTCCTCGACATGATAAATTGTGCAATGCGGGATAGGAGTATGCATCGACAGTTCAATGTTGTGAGGAGCCTATGCCTCAACATGTGCTGGTAGGGTCCCGCTCTGCTCCACTCACGTCCAGCGCAGTGCACGGTGCAATGACACCGAACCCTTGCAACTGCTAGACGTGAAAGCAGAACTGCTGCAATCTTTTGGAGTTGTTTTCGACCCTGCAGGTTCAACATTTTGGCTTTGGAAGGGATGCTGCGGTTGCTCCAGAAAATGCATCGGAATAAGGTCCCTTGCAAACTTTGCACGTCTAGACAATCAAAATCTATCACTACATGTAAATGCATCGGAGTATATGATCGTTTTCGAGAGCCCAAACTATACGCTGACACTGGCTTACTGGCCTGCGCGTTTCACTCCAAGCTCTCCGACCTCAGATTGAGCTGAAACCGCTGAAGCTTCACGCATGGGGCTTCCCGAGGACCACTTCACACCAGTGGGTGGCTTCATTGACAAGAGTCTGGTGAAGGATCCACAAAACCTGGAGCTTTACTGCCAGGTCAACGGCGTGGAGAGGCCGCGATGGCTGGAGTTCCAAGTCTGGGTGAGGTCTGAGGTGATTGGCTGCGAGGTGTGTTTGGCTGTTGGTTGAGCTTCGTCCTGCTCAGGCTGTGCTTGGAGTTTGAGTGTCCAAAGTGGTACCCGTCTCTAAACCACTGGTGATGGCCAGGCAGCGAGGCAACACCAAGGAAGGGCAGGGCAGCAAAGTCATTCATTTTTTAGTCGCTTGGAGAGTTCGAGCTCCTAAGTATCAGCGAAGCACTCATTCCTAGCTCTGAAGTGCAGCCTCTGCTGGTTGGTCTGTGACCCTCAAACTATTGCAGAAACAAGGCTTTTGTGTGCTGGAAACTGGAGAGACACCGCAAGCCCTACCTTCAAGCCGTGGATGCAGGATCAAGTTAAACTCGAGTGCTGACACTCATCGTCCAATTTCTCCAGAAGCCAGGACATGGTCTTCAACATTCCAAGCCTCATCTCCCACATTAGCGCCATCTTTACCCTGGAATGTGGGGATGTCATTCTGCTGCTCCGATGGCACTAGGAAGGGGTGGCTTCAGGCGTAAGGTTTTGGAATTTACGAGAATTGGGACTTCCAGGTTTCGCCTGGTGCAATTTTTTGAAGTCTTGCTTGGACTTGGGGCTCTACTGGTTTCCGAACTGTCTGCACAGAGTCTTTTCGGAAACGGATTCTAATGTCAAGCGACTGCTGGCTGCCAAGGACTGGAACACCTGACGGAGTGGGACCGATTGAGGCTCTTTCTTCTAACTGGGCCCTGGTGTGTATGTACATATATAGAAAAATAAATACATACACCTTAAGGTACTGAGTCGTTTGTGGCTCCTGCGCTAGCTGCTTCTGAAGTGGAGCACGAGTTTGGATCGCCCCTTTGGCTTCTTCTTTGCCCTTCGCCGGGTTGGCACAGAACGGACCCTTCCCTACACTCTCCCAAAAAAAGGGTCGACGGGTGTCGGACAGATGTACCGCCTCTTTCTAGGATATCGATCAGCAGCATTGATTTCTTGAGTGGTCTTCAACATTTTATGAAAACATCAGCTACTGCATGCTATTTCTGAGCTGGAGCATGCCAGGCCGGCGACAAGGTTGTTGCCGGCATTTCCGATCTTCCTGAAGCTGGGCTTCAGCCCCTTACCTGCCAATGTACCTTCAGTCTGGCCTGCAATCTTTGTGCAAGCAGAGCAATGATCCCAGGTTTGATGTCGAGATGGACGACGAGTGAGAGACTACCGCAGTTTCTGCGAGCCTGCGCTGTACAAAGCTACATGCGCCCCAATGCGAGAACGGAAGATGCGTTACAGACGCAGCTTGAAAAATTGGCGCAAGCCTTCAGATTGGCCGTGAACCACAGACATGTGTACTGTCATCCTTTAACGGCACGTGCAGGCAGGTGTAGAGCCTGTGAGCTCCACATACGAACAGACGGCGAGGTAGCAACACTGCAGTTCGCTTAGTCGCAGATGTTTGTCTGTAGTAAGCTGCAGCATCACGTGGATTGCCGTCCGCTGCGGCATGTTGTAAAGCCTTATCATCTCGGTGCAGGTCTCGTTTGATGAGATTATGAGCCACCTCGATGGAAATTCGGATGGGAAGGCCACCGGTTCTTCAAGGGGATACTAGTAGTAAAGTCATCAGTGGAACGAGGGGCCACAACAGCAACTACGAGCAGCAGAAGTAGCAACAGTATTATCAGCTTCAAGCATGTTGCGTGTATAGGTGTGTGCATACATGTGTATGTATGCACATATGCATACTCATGGACAGATTGATGTAGATGTCTATTGCGGGATGAGCACTGCAGTCAATCAGTCTCTTGTGCAACCAATGTAGATGCAAACGCGTACGCGTATAGACAAACGGACGAGACGTAGAGAGCGGGCGAGGGAGAGCCTGGCCACAGCCCCGGCGAAAGAAAAACAAACAGCAACGGGAACATCGCCATGCAACCTCTACTGGCTCTACTCAATGGTGTCGGCTCCTAAACTTGGAACAATAGGGGCCGCTCCACAATGGGTGCAGGCTCGTGACGAGGGCCTTTAGCTCTAGAGAAATCGAGAAAACAACAACTTTCAACGAAGGAACGTGCCTCGTTGCACTGCCCTGCAGGTGAATACTTTGGATGAGGCCGGCTCGATCGTGTTTCAGCATTGCGAATAATACTAGCGTTTACGACCAGATGCGTTGAATCAGCAAGCAGGGCAGCACTTGAGCCAGCATGTTTGTCGAAGAAGGATCGAACCATTGCTACACAGCTGCTTCTTGCCATCTTGTCTGCGGGGACTACCATGGAGTGCATCGAGACGAGAGTCGAGGGTCAGTTGAGGTAAAGCATAGTGCAGACACAGTTGCGCTTTGCATTGGAACCCAGTTGGTGACTGTAGCTTGTTGCAGTTAACGGACATTATCCAACCCAAGAAACCCCTGCACAGATCCGGACGCTTTTCTTCGGTGATATGCTCTCGCCTGCTGCCTCTCCCATGCGTCCATATGCCGAGTTCCTCGGTTGCAAAGCCTGCATTACCTGGTCCTCATTTCCGCACCTGTCCCAATTGTCGTCAAAGCTGACTTGTACTGGGCAGGGCCCCAAGTGAGGAATCTATTTTCACAACTCTCCAGGACGACTTCGTGTGCCAAGCGCACCATGAATCGTACAAGATGGAAACCCTAGTCAATCGCATCGTATTCCACGCTTACAGGCGGCCATGAGCAATGAGTTTCGGCAGTTCCCTTCACGGTCGGCATGTAGCGCTTTGCCTTTGGTCCTCGTGATACAAAAAGTACTCGGATATATCTCAAAGAGTCAAAGAGGTTGCTTCTGTAGATATCGAGTATGCCCCGCGGCTGCACGACTAGAGGCCTTGCCCGATGCCCCTTCTACCCAAAAAGAGCTGCAACTTCCGTAGTACCCAGGTGTCCTGATGTGCTGGTTCTTCAGAAGGACTTCGTTACTGTAGCTTTTGTCATCGCAGCTCGAAGCCAGCAGCAGCACATCAGTCCCAGACCCGACAGCTTTAAAGTTGATGAGTAACCGTCGGAGGAGATTGAAGCTCACCTCGTCAGCTACAACGAGATGTCCTCCAAGCCCATGGACCTCGTGTGCTTCCTCTACATGTGCCCTTAGCCTTGTTTGCATGCACTTGACATGCGCTTGCAATTCGACCGACCCCTTCTTTGTGCCCCAAGGTAAATTTCAAGCTTTCCTATGCTTGCTGAGCCATTGCTATCCATTGCTTCTAGCAGTCGAGATTCATCGGGTGGACTCATTCATTGAGCGAGGTCAGCAGCACTAGTAGGATGATCACACAGGGCCATAGCGGCCATAGCCCAAACGGTCAGAAACTCTAGCGTATCGCTCGCTCTCTCTATCTCTATCTCTATCTCTATCTCTACCTGTCTCTCTCTCTATCTCTATCTCTCTCTCCCTCTCCCTCTCCCTCTCCCTCTCCCTCTCTCCCNNTCTCTCTCTCTCTCTCTCTCTCCTCGACTCTATAAATACATGAGTTAATTGAGCAGTTGAACGAAACATGCCTACGTAAATACATAAACGAAGTAAGCTAAATAAGCACACATGCACATGTGTTGTGTATGTGTATTTGTATACAGATGTGCGCATATGCACATATGTACGTTCGTACGTATGTACGTA